GCGCGGTGCCAAAACCATCGTGTTTTGGCCTTTTTTGACAAACAAACGTAACCCCTCTGCGGGTTGCGGCGTTGGCGCGGTGCCAAAACCCTCGTGTTTTTGCGTTTTTTGACATACGAACGTAACCCCTCTGCGGGTTTCGGCGTGGTCGCGGTGCCAAAGTCGACTTTTGTAGTACGGACACGCGGAGCTTCCGTGGCTGGAAAGTCGAGTTTTGTAGTACAGACGTAGTACGCCGCGGACACCCGGAGCTTCCGTGGCAGGAAAGTCGACTTTTGTAGTACAAATGTAGTACGCCGGGGACGCCCGGAGCTTCCGTGGCTGGAAAGTCGACTTTTGTAGTACAAACGTAGTACGCAGCGGACACCCGGAGCTTCCGTGGCTGGAAAGTCGACTTTTGTAGTACAAATGTAGTACGCCACGGACACGCGGAGCTTCCGTGGCTGGAAAGTCGACTTTTGTAGCACAAACGTAGTACGCCGAGTACGCCGCGGACACACGGAGCTTCCGTGGCTGGAAAGTCGACTGTTTGTAGTACAGACGTAGTACGCCGCGGACACCCTGGGCGTCTGAAAACACCGCAAATAGCATGGTAACGGACATCTGGGCGCATGAAAACACCGCAATTAGCATGGTAACGGACATCTGGGCGCTTGAAAACACCGCAAATAGCATGGTGACGGACATCTGGGCGCATGAAAACACCGCAAATAGCATGGTAACGGACATCTGGGCGCTCGAAAACACCGCAAAGAGCATGGTAACGGACGCTTGAAAGCACCGCAAATAGCATGGTAACGGACAACTGGGCGCTTGAAAACACCGCAAATAGCATGGAAGCAGAATTCCGGACATGCGAAAACCTCGCAAATAGCATGGAAGCGGAATTCCGGACATGCTTGAAAACCTCGCAAATAGCATGGAAGCGGAATTCCGGACGTGCTAACATGGGCACGGAACTCGCAAATAACGTGGGCGCGGAACTCTGGGGCTTTGAAAACTTCGCAAATAACATGGGCGCGGAATTCTGGGGCTTTGAAAACCTGGCAAATAACGTGGGCGCGGAATTCTGGGGCTTCGAAACCCTCGCAAATAACGTGGGCGCAAATAGCATGGTAACGGACATCTGGGCGCATGAAAACACCGCAAATAGCATGGTAACGGACATCTGGGCGCTTGAAAACACCGCAAATAGCATGGTAACGGACATCTGGGCGCATGAAAACACCGCAAATAGCATGGTAACGGACATATGGGCGCTCGAAAACACCGCAAAGAGCATGGTCACCGACATGTGGCGCTTGAAAGCACCGCAAATAGCATGGTAACGGACAACTGGGCGCTTGAAAACACCGCAAATAGCATGGAAGCGGAATTCCGGACATGCGAAAACCTCGCAAATAGCATGGAAGCGGAATTCCGGACATGCTTGAAAACCTCGCAAATAGCATGGAAGCGGAATTCCGGACACGCTTGAAAACCTCGCAAATAGCATGGAAGCGGAATTCCGGACATGCTTGAAAACCTCGCAAATAGCATGGAAGCGGAATGCCGGACATGCTTGAAAACCTCGCAAATAGCAGGGAAGCGGAATGCCGGACATGCTTGAAAACCTCGCAAATAGCAGGGAAGCGGAATTCCGGACATGCGAAAACCTCGCAAATAGCATGGAAGCGGAATTCCGGACATGCGAAAACCTCGCAAATAGCGAGCTTCGAAATCCTCGCAAACACGGAACTGTGGGGCTTCGAAATCCTCGCAAATAACGTGGGCGCGGAATTCTGGGGCTTTGCAAACCTAGCAAATAACGTGGGCGCGGAATTCTGGGGCCTCGAAACCCTTGCAAATAACGTGGGCGCGGAACTGTGGGGCTTCGAAATCCTCGCAAATAACGTGGGCGCGGAATTGTGGAGCTTCGATATCCTCGCAAACACGGAACTGTGGGGCTTCGAAATCCTCGCAAATAACGTGGGCGCGGAATTGTGGAGCTTCGAGATCCTCGCAAACAACTGGGGACGGTGTTTTCGAAGTCGCTGTTTTCAAAAGCATCGCAAATACCATGGTCCCCGAATTCGCTGTTTCCAAAAGCATCGCGTCCCCGAATTCGCTGTTTCCAAAAGCATCGCAAATACCACGGTCCCCGAATTCGCTGGTTCCAAAAGCATCGCAAATACCATGGTCCCCGAATTCGCTGTTTCCAAAACCATCGCAAATACCATGGTCCCCGACTCGCAAATAACGTGGGCGCGGAACTCTGGGGCTTTGAAAACCTCGCAAATAACATGGGCGCGGAATTCCGGGGCTTTGAAAACCTAGCAAATAACGTGGGCGCGGAATTCTGGGCCTTCGAGGGTTTCGCAAATAACGTGGCCGCGGAACTGTGGGGCTTCGAAATCCTCGCAAACAACTTGGGGACGGTGTTGTGGATCTTGTCCTGAGTTCTTGCTTCCTGAAAGGCGCTCTGGACTATGAGCTTGGACTTCAGAGCGACTGCCGATGATGCTCATGGCTGACGGCCTCGCGTTGGATGTTTTTGTCTTTGCTGTAGTGGAAGTGCATAGTACATGCGTGCATGCTGAGTTCTTGCTTCCTGAAAGGCGCTCTGGACTATGAGCTTGGACTTCAGAGCGACTGCCGATGATGCTCATGGCTGACGGCCTCGCGTTGGATGTTTTTGTCTTTGCTGTAGTGGAAGTGCATAGTACATGCGTGCATGCTGAGTTCTTGCTTCCTGAAAGGCGCTCTGGACTATGAGCTTGGACTTCAGAGCGACTGCCGATGATGCTCATGGCTGACGGCCTCGCGTTGGATGTTTTTGTCTTTTCTTTCATGGCTTCGCGTGGATTGGACGTGCGCAGTCGAGTCGGGTGCATACAAGTGAAGTTCATACAGTTGCTCAAACGCAATAAGTTCAAATGAATACAGTTGCTCAAGTGCAATAAGTTCAAAAATGTCGAGTTCAAGTCCGTTAACTTCAGATGTATTGAATGCCGATGAAGTGTATAGAGTTCACCACAAGTGCATGGCATTCAACACTTGAATGCTATGCAGTTCTATTGCATAGCACGTGCAGTATACAAGTGCAGTATACAAGTGAGTATGCAACCATATAAGTGCATACACTTGTCCAAGTGCATACAGTTCGAATGCAAAGAGTCAAGTGCATGGAGTCAACGCACGGCAAATGGATGCTTTCGGGCCATCCCTCTTCTAGTAGGGTTTCGGGTTTAGGGTTTAGGGCTTTCACTCCCCCACCCGTGGTACATGGTGAGGTTAGGGTTTAGGATTTAGGCGGCTTGGGGATTAAGATCGTTTAAGGTATGCCCCCGCTGTGGTTCATGGTGGGTTTGGGGTTTGGGGGTTCTCCTACTGTGATTCATGGTACGTGGTTCATGGTCTGTGGTTTCTGTGTTAGTTTAAGGTTTGGGGCTTAGGGTTCCTGATCTCGAGTTCAACGCCCTACTTGGAGGTTCATGAAAAAACTTCTTCAATCCAGTTGAAACTTACATCCTGTTTTCAATCCTAAGCCCTAAACCCTAAACCCTTTTAAACCCTCCAAAAACCCTCTAAACCCTTTAAACACTTAAAACCCTACTAACCCCTACTCGGTCGCCCAGAAACCATATTACAACAAGGGCACCCTTTTGTCGGTTGCTTACTTTACAAGGGAACCTTGAACCAAAACCTAAACCCTAAACCCTAAGCCCTAAGCCCGAAACCCTGAACCCTTTAAGTGTTTAGAGGGAAAAGGGTGCCACTGGGCTACTAAGCCTATAAGCGCACCAGCATCCCGAGTCCCGAGCCTCGTAGGATCCGCCTTGGCCTGGCCACAGGTTGGGGTTTAGGGTTTAGGGTTTAGGGCTTCTTTGGGGTTAGGGTTTAGGGCTTTTAGGGTTTAGGGTTAGGGTTTTTGGGGTTTAAAGGGCTAGGGCCTTTAGGGTTTAGGGTTTGGGGTTTTTTAGGGTTTAGGCTAGGGTTTCGGGCATTAAAGCAGTGGGGGGCAAGACCTGTGCGCGTCTGCGCGGAGTTTACGGCTGTCCAAGCTCGACCTCCTGAAGCTTTGACCCTAAACCCTAAACCCTAACCCTTAACCCTAAAAGGGGTTCAGAGCCGAGGAATTCAAGGTTGTTAGAATGCTGAAGGCTCTTTCGACGCACGGCCTTCTTCAAGAAGGTACGCCAGCCGCTCCTTCACAGAGGCGTTTGGGGGATCTGAATGGAAGCTTGGCTGAAAACCTACGGTGCACGGATTGAGAAGCCTTTCCCCACTTATATACCCCACCTTGATACCTTGTTATATCTGAACCTTATATACACCATACAGAATAAGGGCCCATACTTCGGATCCCTATTGCAACAAGGAACCCCAGACCCTAAACCCTAAACCCTAAACCCTAAACCGCCAAGGGCCCATGCTTCCGACCTTAGACCACCCGTCCCCAGGCACCCGGACTTTGAGGACTTGAGCAGTTGAAGAGTTGAAAGGGCACCTCCCAGTCTGACCTTTTTTCAATCGCTTTAGGGTTTAGGGTTTAGGGTTTAGGGTTCCTGAGACTCCGGCAGCAGTTCAAAACCTAATTCACTCTGTCTTAAGATGTGGACCTGTAGCAGACTGCAACACAACATGGGATCATGACAGAAGGCCCTCGTTACCCCAGCATTCTGGCATTTCCAAGGTTGCAGTCCTCTACATCCTCGGCAATCTGCAGGTACCTGCCACGGAAGATTGGGATGTTCTCCCTTATACTAACAGTCCTTAATAAGAATTCGAGTACCCCGATTATAAATTATAATCCCTATTAAGGACTGCTAGTTTAAGGGGGAACATCCCAAATGGAAGATCTAGAGCATGTCGGCAAATTTGCCGAGTCTGTTGGGAAGCATGCGCAGGAGCCGGTACCCCTTTTGGGGGCACAATAAAAGGGCTTCTAGTCTAATTGGGATATAAACAAGGTAGGTGTGTCGGGATTGGCAACAGGTGACCCAGCAAACCTGGAAGCTTTAGAGTGCAGGAGGGCACTTGAGACGAATCTCTTCCGTCGTGGCATTTGGAAGCACGTCCAACTCTTCGTACCTCGATGTGTTCAGTACGACTCCAAAGGGGGCTTCATTTGCCAGACCACGGAGTAACCTAGGAATAAAACGGGTGCTCTTTTTGGTTCAAAGGCGTTTATAAGGGAAACCTAAAGCCTAGGGGAATAAAGCCTACTCTGGGTCATAGTAGCCCTCTAAGCCTTAAACAATCCTCACACACCTTTTGCAGACTGCGCGCCAACAAACTTCAGCAACCCTTCTTCTTGGGGACCAAATGAGCTTTAAAAAAAGTTTTTGGTTCGCATGGGGGTTTACGATTCTTAGGGGTGCCTTATTGGGGTCCTTATAATATTAGGGGATGTGGGGATCTATTTTGGAAGTCCTGGTTCAGATACCTTAAATTGGTAGCCCAGCAACCATAGTGTACTAAGGGTACCTTTTGTGTACTAAGGGTACCTTTTGTTGCATTGGTTGCTTTACAAGGGAGCCTTGAATCAAGAACAGTGAGAAAAGGGCACTGCTGGGCTGCTAAGTTAGTCGGAATCATGATAGTTTCGGGTAATGACCCACATTTAGCGCTCAATTTGGGCCACAGTTTAGGGTTTAGGGTTTAGGGTTTTGGTCCCCAAGGTCTGCTCCTCACAACTAACAGGTTCATCGCAAGCCCTTCAGGGTTCGCTCGGTTAGTGTTGAGGGTTTAGGCAGGTTCCCTAAACAAGGGTACCTACTGTACTGCAGGGGCGCTGGTATGTACAGCATACACCCAGGTACTTTAGTTTCGAGAGATGGTTCAGCAATGCTGCGGGCCTTACCCGAAACTAGCGGTAATACCCTAAATCCCACATGCTGATTTACAAGCAGGAATCCGAAAATCGCCGACGTGCCCAAACGGTAAGCCCCAAAACACGACCCAGACCTCACAAATTACCCCCTGTACACCTTTTTTGCAAACCCTAAACCCCAAACCCCAAACTCCAAACCCTAAACCCTAAACCCTCAACTTGAACTTGCCCCAAACGGCAGGTTAGGCTGGGCATCGGACCATGCTGTTTCCACAGGCGCGGCAGGGGCCCCCCTGTAGCTTGCAGTCTTTGCGCGGGGTTTAGGGCTTAGGGTTTAGGGTGGTCCTTGTAGGGTGTCGGGTTTAGCATTTATGGACCTTAGGGTAGGTAAAAGGGTTTGGGGGCCCATATTTCGACGTGACCAGACCCTGGAATCGAGAGGCTTACACAAGCACGGCGCTTCACAGAACTAGTGCAGCGCCGTAAAAGATTTGGCGAAGGCCCTAACTCCCCTCCCTCCGACCCGAAGAATCCTGTTGAGGTCAAGCACCCTACCCTCCCTCCCAAACAAAAGCTTACAGACCAACTTAAACCCACAAAGCACTCAACCCCGAATCCCTGAAATCTTTCACCTCGAAATCCTAAGCTCCCTTCAGCAACACCATATCATGCCAGAACAACAAAAGGACCTGAAAAATCTAATTGCCAAAACACCCCTGGCGCCTTCGTCTTTTCTGCGGAGCTTCAGGGTTCAAGGTTCAGGGGTTTAGGGGTTTAGGGTTGGAGGTTTAGGGTTCAAGGACATTTTTTTCATTTCTGGCTTGGGGCTTTAGACTGTTGGTGCTTATTAGGCCCCCAAGCCCTGAACTCCGGAAGCCCCCCCCCGCCCCCCAGAAGAAACAAAAAAAGAAATGAGCCACGAACCCTAAAGAAGCTTCTGGGTTCAGGGTTTCAAGGGTCTATACGGTTTAGCGTTGACAGGGTTTAGGGTCTAGGGCTTAGGGTTTAGGGCTTAGGGTTTCGGGTTTAGGGCTTCGAGTCTGCCGTGGGCGCTGAGGGCGAGGCTGAAGGCGTGAAAGCGGCAAGCGCCGCATCGCCAAGGCCTTGCCAAAGGTGCAAACCCTAAACCCTAAACCCTAAACCCTAAGCCGTGGTAGGATGGATTACACCATGCAAGAAGCCGCCGCTGGCGTTGGGGAGCACAATCGAGGGAGGCTTCGCTGACCCGAGCATCCCCCGAGATCTACAAGATAGGATTGGGGTTTCGGGTTTAGGGTTTAGAGTTTAGGGTTTAGGCTATAGGGTGTTGGGTTTAGGATTTGGAGCGCTTAAGGAGGTCTCGGATGAAGTTTCAGTATGTATGGACTATTTGGCCACCAGAACCCCCAAGACAGGGATCCGATTGTAGTCGTGTGATGTGGCATGGGGTACACGTTGGGAGGTTGGTGAGGTGACCCAAAGCCCCAACCCATACCAACTATACGGGGTTGGTCAGGATTGAAGGATTTAGGACTAAGTCCTGAACCCTAAACTAAACCCTAAACCAGAAGGATTCTGGCTGCTTTATGGACCATAAACCCGTGCTTCCTGCCTGGTTGATCCTGCTGGCAATCTGCATGGCCTCGGTTTCCTGCGTGATGCGATTTAGCTTTAAGTCTGGGATTCGGGGGCAACTCATGTTGCTCGAAACGCGCGCGGCGATTGTAGTTTAATCAGAGAGAGAGAGAGAGAGAGGAAAAAGAGAGAGAGAGAGGGAGCAAATGATATTGTGCTTATGTAGTGAATACTATTTTGCAGTTGCCTAGGCTCCTGTAGCATAAAGTTGCTTCAGGAGCCTCTATGAGGACAACAAATTTGCAGTTGCTTAGGGTCCTGAATTATGAAGATATTGCCAGAGGGGCTTCAAGCTGTTTGAGGCAGCCAGCCTCAGCCCTGTGCTCAACCCTCAACCCTAAACCCTCAACCCTAAACCCTCAACCCTAAACCCTCAACCCCCCCAAACCCCCACTCGTCAACACCAAAAGGCACCGCCCCAAGCATAGTCGGGAACTTGTTGAAGTCCCTTTGGTGGAGGATTGGGGAACCCTCTGACAAAGCCGTAGATAAATCCTGGAGCTCAAAATTGCCCAAAATTCTGTCGGCTCTATTTCGCCTTCGTCAGGGTAGACAGATTACTCCAGTCTGGGCACACCGCTAACCCTACACTATGAATACCGTACGTAGCTGAAACAATAAAGCTTAAACTCTAAACCCTAAAGCCCAACCCGAAAACCCCAAATCCCTGCCAAAAACTGAACACAGCCTGTAAACAAGCACTCTAAACCCTGTGAGCCCTATGAATTCCATGACCCTCTAGCCCCTGTACACCCTAGAAAGCCCATGGCCATGCTAGGAATCTTAACATCCCTGCAACCCCAAACTCTATATGAACTCTGACCCTTGCAATATCCCGAGCAACCCGAACAAACCTGTACCCCAAACCCTAAACCCTAAATACCCTAATTAACCCTAAACCCTAAACCCTAAACCCCAAACCCCAAACCCCAAACCCGAAACCCTAAACCCTAAACCCTAAACCCTAAACCCTAAACCCTAAACCCTAGCGCGGCGCCTCCGGCTCCTCGCGCTCCTGCGAGACGCCGCCGAAGTAGAGGACTTCCCCCTCCTGCAAGGGAAAGGGGTTTAGGGTTTACGCTCACATTTTTGCCGGTCGGTGCCTGGGCACCTTCCTATGGAGGCTGGGGATCATAAATCGTAGGTCCGAGGATCCAGGAAAGGTTCGGAGGCTCATAACGACCCGAGGCTGCTAGAAGCACCTAAACCCTGCAGCCCCGTAGCCCATGAGCCCTGCAACTCCGAAAGCCCTAAACCCTAAACCCTAAACCCTAAACCCTAAATCCTAAACCCTAAACCCTGAACCCTAGAAGCCGAGAGCGTCCTCGTCGGAGTCCAGCTCTACGGTATCCGGCAGGTCCTCCTCGCCTTCGCGATGCAAAGCTCTACCCCCCACATGGGACCAGCGCCGCTGATAACTTCACTGCTAGTTGCTTAATGAAGAGTTTGATCCCTTGATTGCCCTTGTAAGGAAGAATACTTTGACATTATGTACATATGTACATATATGTATATATATATATATATATCTATTTCTTTATTTGTCTTTTCAATTCTTCTCTTATTATTTTTTTTTTTTTTTTGGGGGGGGGGGGGGCGCGGGGTTCTTGAGCAACTAGTAGCGCCTGGAGTAGCAGCGTATTCATTCGGTCCCCAAGCCTCTAGCATCTCAACCTCACGCTCAAACAAAAAACCCAAACATCCAAAATTCAAAACAACCACCCCCGCTCCCCCCTCCCCCGCAAGAAAATCGAATAAGAACAATAATACATTTAAGCAACCCCCCCCCCCAAAAAAAAAAAAAAAAAAAAAACGAAACTCTAAAACAAACACTCCAAACCCAAAACCCCAAACGCCAAGACCCTAAATCCCAAGTCAGAAAGCCCGAATCCTGCAACCCCAAGCCGTAAGCTCAGAAGGCTGTCCCTGGCTGCGTCGAAGCACACGTCCAGGTCTTCTCCTCTCAATTTGCTGGGCACAGGGCTTAGGGTTTAGGGTTTAGGGTTTGGGGGTTTGGGGGTTTGGGGTTTAGCGATTGGGGTTTGGGGTTTAGGGTTTCGGGTTTAGGGTTTGCACTGAACGCCCAAAGCACCCCCAACCCGAAAAACAAATCAAACTCGAAAATTAAGCTCGAAAATGCTAGAAGCACCAAAAAACAGACACAAGTCCACAATGAATTCCTAGAAGCCCTAAACCCTAAGCCCTAAACCCTAAACCCTAATCCCTAACCCTAAACCCCCTTGGAAAAGATCCTAGATGCCCGCATGCGCAAACCCACGAGGCGAAAGCTTGGCAGTCGTCGCCCTACACCCAAGTGTTGTTTGTTTAGGGTTTAGGGTTTAGGGTTTAGGGTTTAGGGTTTAGGGTTTAGGGTTTAGGAATAGGGTTTAGGATTTAGGGTTTAGGGTTTCTGGACGTAGGAATTGGGGTTCAGGCTTCAGGATTTAGGGTTTCCCAACAAGCAGCCCTCCCTCCTCCACTTTTCTAACTATCGTCAATGGACCTCTAACCTAGGTAAACCCTAAACCCTAAATCCTAGACCCTAAACCCCAATTTATAGTCACTGTAGTATACATAGTGGGTCTCCTTCTAGACCGGCAATCCTAAAAACTTAAACCCTACCCAAAAACCATAAACCATAAACTCGGAAACTCAGACCCTAAACCCTGAACACTGAAGCCCTAAACCCTAAACCCTAAACCCGAAACCCGAAACCCGCAAGCATTCTTCTCAAGGGCCGTCCTCTGGCCACTGGGCTGCACGAAAGCCGTGGTCAGCAGCTGGAGGCCCAGAATTAGGACCTTGGAGGACCATGGAAAAAAAACCTAAACCCTAAACCCTAAACCTTAAACCCTAAACCCTAAACCCTAAACCCCAAACCCCAAACAATAAACCTTTTTAGGTATAAGTAGCTAGAATAGGAACCCAAAACAAAAAAACAAGTATCAACATATAGTACTCCAAAGCCCAGAACTAGGACCTCAAACCGAGGCGAGAACAGGGCTCTTAAGGTTGAGGATGGGTTTAGGGTTTAGGGTTTAGGGTTTAGGGTTTAGGGTTTAGGGTTTAGGGTTTAGGGGTTAGTGGTTGAGGGTTTGGAGTTCAGGCCTTCAGGGCATCAGGATTCAGTGTGTGGAGTTCAGGCTTTGAGGGCACAGAGTTCCGGGTTCAGTGCGCGGAGTTCAGGGATCAGGGTTCATTGCTTAGATGACTCAGAAGCTTCATGGACTTGTCCTGATCTGTTTGTTTTTGGGAGCTTCGATGTGTTGAGGGCTTTGCTTATGAGCAGTCTAAGGTTTACGCGCCTACTGCCCGAATTATGTTACCCATGCTGTGCCATGCTATGCACTTTCCACCTCTCGGATTCTGTACAATGCTTACTGAGCCTTTAAGTCCTCAACAGCAAAACCCTGAGCCAAAACACGGAACCCTCAAATCCTTAAAACCCTAAATCCTGACTAGATGTCCTAAACCCTAAGCCCTCAAACCCTGGCCCTAAACCCTAAACCCTAAACCCTAGACCTTAAACCCTAAACCCTAAACCCTGAACTCTGAACCCTGGCCCTAACAATACTAGATTTAGTTGTGGGGCTGAAGCCGTCCCTGAAATTCTCCGGGCCACTAACCCCAAGCAGCACAAGCAGCGGGCACTCCTAGAGCCTAGTAAACCCTAAACCCTAAACCCAAAACCCTAAACCCGACTCCAGGCCAAGGGACGCCCAAGGGGAGCACGGCATAGCATGGCTTGCGCATGGCTTAGGGTCTTGGGCCCTTAAGTTGGGCCACTTGTTACATAACCCTTGTATGGGGGGGGAGTACCTTAGTGGGATCCTTATTGTAAGGGACGCCTGCTATTTGGGGGTCTATATTGCTCAACTCCCAGAAAACATGCGAATAATAAGGGCCCATGCTTCGGATCCTTATAAACAAGGGCAAAAAGGGCCCAAGGGTTCCAACCTTAGACTTGTGGTCGGTGGTTGAGGAATTGTTGGGCTCGGTTTAGAGTTTAGGGTTTAGGGTTTAGGGTTTAGGGTTTAGGGTTTAGGGTTTAGGGTTTAGGGCTAGGGTTGTCCGCATCTCCTGGACGGATGCTAGTGCGCGACTGGCGGCTGGGATGCGTCGACATGTATCACTTGCTTCGATCTTTGGTCTTCATCGTATACGATCGAGTAAGTAGGAATAGAAGAGGTCATATGGGGGCCTTAATACTTGAAAAAGGGCTTTGAGGGTTCGAATCGTGTACTTGTATTAGGGACCATAAGGGAAGATAATTAGTATGGCATCTTGGTATCTTGCTGATTTAAGGGTTTACGAAAATAAGGGACCCCCAAATCAGACCCATAAGTGGGTAGGGCTCCCTTATACTGAGGACCTCAGTAAGGTACCCCTGGCCTAAACCTGAAACCCTAAACCCTAAACCCTAAACCCTAAACCCTAAACCCTAAACCCTAAACCCTAAACCCTAAACCCCATCTGGCTTCATGCGGATTAGATCCTAGGAACTCGGCATTGGTCTTGCAAACAATGAAAAGAGTTGCCATGCCGCTCACGCTTCGGACCAGCAGCTGTATTATGTCTGGGTTGAAGGGTTTTAAGGTTTTAATGGTTTGAAGGGTTTAAGGGTTTCAAGGACTTAAAGGGTTCAAGGTTTTAAGGGTTTAAGGGTGAAAGCGTGAACTGGTTTGAGGGTTATATAAAGGGGTGTAAGGGTTTAGGGTCACCTGAACCCTAGAAACTCGTGAGCCCCTGGGTCAAATGGATCATGTTGCGCAGCCTACGCCCCTCCGACCATAAACCGACTGTTGGGGTTTAGGGTTTAGGGTCTAGGGTCTAGGGTTTAGGGTTTAGAGTTTTGGTTTAGGGTTTAGGGTTTACAGTCTAAAGCGCCAAAGTCTGGGACAAGAATCGCTTCGGAAAAAAAGTCGCTTCTTTGGGCATCTCTTCCCACCCTGTGAGGCACTGGCATCTGATGCTGCTTTTGCTCTACGTCTTGCTCCTTGGACCTTTCTCGGATGTCTTTAACAAACACTATAGGACCTTAATAAAGAGCTTTTTGGGGTTCTTATAGTATAATTCTACTGGGGCCATCAGGGAATACCATTAGTACTTAGTCCGACCCCTATATTACGTCAAGGCAAGCCTAAACCCTAAACCCTAAACCCTAAACCCTAAACCCTAAACCCTAAACCCCTACGCCCCAAACCCCGTGAGTGCTGACAGCCAGCGCAGCCAAGTCAGCTGGCACTCTCACGCTTTCGAAGCAGGTCCTGGATGAAGATAGCAAACCCAAAGCCCTAAATACCTAAATCACTAAAGCCTTTAAACCCTAAAACCTAAATCCTAAAACTCTAAACCCTAAACCCGACCCAAAACCCAAAGGCCCTTGCAGTTTACCACAACTCTAGAAAAAGCGAGTCACCAAGTGGATGAGGACAAACGAAAATGACGAAGGGGATGCTGCTATTCACTCCATGGGCTCATACCCTTAGAGGGTTTAGGGTTAAGGGTTTGAGGTTTAGGGCTGACGGCTTCGGGACTTCTCCAATAACCAAGGAAAAATGAGATCAAACTTTTTGATTCCTACTAAGGAAAACTGAGGATAGTTTAGCGTTCTGCTGTTTTCTCGGTGAGTTTTTTTCTGGGGGTTTGGGGTTTGGGGGGTTTGGAAACCCTAAACCCAGTACATAACCCCTGATCACTTTTGGGGTTCATTTGTCCATTTTTGCATCAGGTTTGAGCGCTCCAGAGGTATACAAGCCCGCATCTGACATGTGCAGCGTGGCAAGACCAACATGCAGATTAAAATCGAATCCGAGAGCACGAATGGACACTTTACAGAACTACGAATTCGGTGCCTCTGGACTCACTCACAAAATATCTTAATTGTTAAATCAGGGCAGTCAACGTCCCTGCTTGCAACGGGATTGCGAGCATTTCCCAACCTGGGCAACATCTCCAGACCTAAACGGGTAGTTCTCTAAATTGAGTCCCTTTCTGATTTCTGATTCCCTTCATTTCATACGGCACCTGATAAAAGAAGGAGCCCACCCCACTGGGGCCCTGATTTAGAGAACTGCCCAAATGCAAACCGTGACCTCTGAGACATTTGAGCCCTTAGCCTAGCACACCCTGGCCCTAAAACCTATGCAAGGCCCGGGGTGCAGCTGCTTGGGAGCTCACTTCCGCTCATAGGCCACAATGTAGGCTGGCAGGATGCCCTTGCCATCATAGATCACAAACCTCAGATTTGGTGCAAACGTAAATCCTGAACTGAATCCTGGAAGCCAAAAAGACCTCCAGGCCGAAGGAGCGGCACGGCTTCGCATCAAAATCCAAGGCCCTGTTTTGGGGGGGAGAGAGATGAGGGGGAGGAGTTCGGGATTAAGTGAACGTGCTCCGGGACTTTGGGGTTTCAGAGCCCAGGAACTCCCTGAATCGCTTCAGCAGGCGGTGCTTCTCCGCGATGAGCGCGTGGTAGCGCACTGGGGGGCTCAGGTGCTCCACCTGGGCTTCGCCAAGCGAAGGTGCACACGAAGCACGCAGAGATTTGAGGGGTTTAAGGCCCATAGACCCAGAAGCAACCTAGGAACAAGAAGGGTGCCCAAATTCTGGTTTAAAGGGGGTTTATGAGGGAACCTAAACCCTAAAACAAGGGAATGGAAGGCGTGCTCTGGTCCTAGTAGCCCTAAACCCTAAACCCTAAACCCTAAACCCTAAACCCTAAACCCTAAACCCTAAACCCTAAACCCTAAACCCTAAACCCTAAACCCTAAACCCTAAACCCTAAACCCTAAACCCTAAACCCTAAACCCTACCCCCTAAACCCTAAACCTAGAGGAGTCCCACCTGGACCAGCTCGCCTTTCCGGCTGTTCGCGAAGATCGTGGCCCCGGGTATCAGCCGCGTCTCCGTTGGCGGTGAAGCCATTGCGGTTTCGCCATCCTAGGGTTTAGGGTTTAGGATTTAGGGTTTAGGGTTTAGGGTGTAGCACGGGTCAGCTGAACGCAATAGTGTGAAGACATGCCCACCCCAAGGCCACCCTATCACAACTCTCTGCGAAACCAAACCGGAGCCAGCCAAAGCCAGCCATTCAAAATCCGTGAAACGGAGCCGGAGCCAGCCCGAACGAAGCCAGGCATTCAAAATTCACACGTCGAACATTCTCAGAGGACCCTCAAGCTAGCTAGAAGACGTACAATGGGTTGGAAAATGAGGAGACTAGGAAGCCCAACAACCCAAGCCTTTAGTGACTAGACTTCTGGGTCTCTTGGGGCCATAAGGCAAAGGACACCCCTTCAGGTTTGCGCGAAGGGGACGGTCTGGGCCGAAGGGCCCTTCGCAGAAAACCAGGCGTGAGCAGGTAGCAGGTTGTGGGTCACTTGGGGCAAAGGACGCCCCTTCAGGTTTGCGCGAAGGGGACGGTCTGGGCCGAAGGGCCCTCTCATAGAAAACTCAGGCGTGAACAGCTTGCAGGTCACTTGAGGCCATAAGGCAAAGGACACCCCTTCAGATTTGCGTGAAGGGGACGGTCTGGGCCGAAGGGCCCTCTCATAGCAAATTGAGGCGCGAATTGCCTGTGCAGACACGCCAGTTTTTTCGGGCTCACGTTGAACAGTTTGCCAGGCTGCGGCCAGCCTTCCAGGCGCTCCTAGCAGGGGCCTCCCAGCCTCGCAGAGGCGTCCCAGCTTGCCAGAGGCCTGCCAGGGGCCTGCCAGGAATCTGGCAGTTCAGGGGCCTCATAGGGGTCTGTGAGGGGCTGCTGGGCTCGAAACGGGTAGCCCGTCAAAGGGCCCCTGGTCCAGCAAAGAAGGCCGTAGTCTGTCCAGAGGGTCCACGGAGGCCTCCAGGCGGGGTTTTAAAGGCAAAGGATTCCCCCGAGAATTTTAGGGTAATAATATATACTAGGGACAGTGCTTGGCGACCAAGCTTGGCGACCCCTCAGGGGTGCGGTGGGCAGGCTCTGCAGCCCAAGCAGAGCCTGCCATGGTCTCGCTGAGCGCTCGACTGCGCCCGCCTACCCAACAGAGGTGAGAGGGGTGGCGGGCGGGTTTAGGGTTTAGGGGTTAGGGTTTTGGGGTTTAGGGTTTAGGGTAGTAGGGTATGTATGAACCCCAGTTTTAGGGGTTCATTGGGTCCCCCAAGGATCCTGTGTGTAGAGGGGGAAGCCCAAGACCACCTTGCACACCAGCATGAAATAGACGTCCTCCTTGGTAGCCCAGGAAGTTTAGGGTTTAGTGTTTTAGGGTTTAGGGTTTAGGGCCACCATAGTATCATAAGGGCACCCTTTCTTTCGGGGTTGGCTACTTTATAAGGGAAGCCCAAAACCCCCCTAAAAAAGGGGCTTCCAAGGCTCCTGTGGGATGCCAAGGCCGCAGTCGGTGAAGAGCTTCCTAGTTCATAGTTTAGGTTTAGGGTTTAGGGTTTAGAGTTTAGGGATCTATATTCCTTATTGGGTTGAAGTACCCTTGAAAATGTAAAATGATACCCAACTATGACCAAGCTTCGAGCGGATGTCAGCGGCCATCTTCTCTGACGAGCTTGGCTCCAGAGGCACGGCATACTGGTCGGCTTTGGCGGCATCCTCGGGCCCCTAAACCCTAAACCCTAACCCCCAAACCCTAAACCCCAAACCCTAAACCCTAAACCCTAAACCCCAAACCCTAAACCCTCACCCTAAAACGTAAACCCCAAACCCCAAACCCCAAACCCCAAACCCCAAACCCCAGACCCTAAACCCTAAACCCTAGAGGTCCTCGGCTAAGTAGGCTCCCGTGCCGAAGAGTCCCCCAGAGAGGCGCTCGCTGACACCGGTGTAGGCAATGCTCAGAAGGTGCTCCGTGCCGGTTCCGTGGAAGAGGAGCTGCTCGTTGCAGCCAGTGTCCAAGCCTCTTTGTGCAAAATCTCAAACCCTTAACCCTAAACCCTAAACCCTAAACTTGAACCCTGAACCCTGAACCCCGAAATCCCTATCAGCCCAAACCCATAACTTCAACCCTCAACTCTTGAACTGCAAAATGGTGGCCTTTCGTGATATGCCTGAGCCTGAACTACCCTGTAAGCCCTGAATCCACCACAACAACTCGGTTTAGGGTTTAGGGTTTAGGGTTTAGGGTTTAGGGTTTAGGGTTAGGATTTAGGGTTTCACAAGGTTCAGTGATGAGATGCTCCATGACTTGCGCAGGCCATCCGTGGCAGTGGTCACGCATGGAATGTGCCCACGGAAAAGCTCTGATGCAACTCCTCGACGGAGTTTTTTTTTTCAGTTTAGGGTTTAGGGTTTAGGGTTGAGGGTTTAGGGTTTAGGGTTTAGGGTTTAGGGTTTTGGTGTTTTGAGTCTTTGGAGCTGAGGACGCATATTCTGATGGTTTACGAAAATAAGGGACCCCTAATATTATAGTCCCCCAAATTAGTAGTATTCGGCTTATAATAAGGACCCCTAAAAAAGGTACCCACTAATTTCGGAAACCCCTTATATGGCCTTAGATCTGGAGGTTTCAAGGTTGCAAACTCGGCTTGCGCCCTAAGACCCCCCCTTGAGCTCCTTCAAGGGTCCCAAAACACGCAACTCTAAGCCCTAAACCTCAGAGGTTTGGGTTTAGGATAGGGTTTAGGGTTTAGGGTTTAGGGTTTAGGGTTTAGGGCTTAGGGCTTAGGGCTTAGGGCTTAGGGCTTAGGGCTTAGGGCTTAGGGTTTAGGGTTTAGGGTTTAGGGATACCAGTGCTTGAGGTCGAGGATCGTCCGGTTTAGGGTTTAGGGTTTGGGGTTTAGGGTTTAGGGTTTAGGGTTTAGGGTTAGGGGCCTTTGGTGCGCAACTCCCCGGTGCCAGCAAGCGACGGGAGACTTCTTGCTGGACCACGTACTTCCTCTGCTTCGGGAAGCTTCGGCGATGGGGTTTAGGGTTGGCGGGGCCTTTGGGCATTGTGATTCAAGCTTTTCCGGTGCCAGGGTTCAGGGACAAGATCTAACTTTCCAGTCCCCAAGAGCCCTGTCTAATCAACCCCAAGCGAAAAACCGAACATACAACTTGGGATGTTCCTGTTCCCCCTTGCACTATACCCCCTACTGTAATCCCTATGCTAGTATAAGGGGAACGTCCCAACATACAACCCTGAACCCCGAGCAAGTTTCCCTAAAACCCTAAAGCGACGGTCCTGAAGTCGTACTCTGCGGTGCGGGTGGGTAGATTGATTTGCCAGCATTCTTTCAATCGCAGAGAGCCTGGGAGTTGCGCTTAGGGCAGAGGGTTGATTGAAAGGCGGTTTGGGGTTAGGGTTTAGGGTTTAGGGTTTAGGGTATAGGGTTTCGGGCATAGGGTTTAGGGTTTCAATTAGGGTTTAAGGGCCTTAGGGCAGTTGAGGATCAGGCTTGAAGCATTTGGGGTTTGACATTGACAGGAGTGGTGCAGCATTCGAGGGCTTGGGCTCAAGGACTTGAGTACGATTAGGGTCCGGGGCTCTTCTGCTTTGGGTTGACTCTGCTTGAATGCTGAACCCCCATCTCCGAAACCCCTCAAATCTAGAGTCCACCGATCCTTCGAAAGGAGCATTGTGTGTCGCCATGCGATGGCAATGTGAGGCGGTCGCTTCTACTCACAGGCAGTTCTGCGGATAGCACAGAACTGCGCCCGACACTCAGCCGAGTTAATGCGCAAGTGACGCAAGTGGGCACGGTGTCCGGTTCTACATTGCGACATTGCGCGGGTTTCACCGAAAAGTGCTGCTGAGTGGAGTTGCTGGTCTGTGCAGGGCGTTGCCGGACTCGTTTCCGCCTTTGCGCTGGAGTCACATAGATTGGACCCTAAGCCCTAAGCCCTAAGCCCTAAGCCCTAAGCCCTAAACCCTAAACCCTAAACCCTAAACCCTAAACCCTAAACCCTAGACCCGATTTGCGATCCCAGCTCTCGGCAAACTTTTGAGAGCTTTGACGAGCAGCGAACAGCCAGGAAGAGGAGGCCGATGACTCGTTTCGGGTTTAGGGTTTAGGGTTTGGGTTCTTGTCCTTCTTCCCTCTTGTCTATACTCCCCTCAGATCACGAAACGAATGTTGTTGGTATTCCCTGGAATTTAAATACAAAAACGAACCTAAGAGGCTTTAGTGTTGTGCGCCTTGCTTTGCTTTCTCTCGCCTTAGTTGCATTTGTTGCCCTCATCGTCGTCATCATCATCGGGCCGGGAGGGAGATTGGACCCAAATCAGGTGTGAGCCTAAACCCCAGACCCCAAACCCTCAACCCTAAGCCCCAAACTCTATACCCTAAACAATAAACCCCAGCCCCGAAACCCTGAACTGTAAGCCCTGAGCCCTAAACCCTAAACCCTAAACCCTAAACCCTAAACCCTAAACTCCGATGAAGCCAAGGGGGCTGTAATCCACCTTCTTGAAGCGCTGGTCGTAGCCGACTCCAAGGCCTCGCGCCTTTCGCAGCTCTGCTGCCAAGAGCCTTGCAGATTCGGGGTTTAGGGTTTAGGGTTAGGGTTTAGGGTTTAGGGCTTCGGCTTTCGGATGGACGGCGGATTCGGGGTTTAGGGTTTAGGGTTTAGGGCTTAGGGTTTAGGGCTCAGGGTTTAGGGTTTAGGGCTTCGGCTTGCCCGGGGGAGGGGTTTAGGGTGTATGGATTAAAACTGCCCATGTCGATGTCTAGGTTGACCAAGGCCACGCCAGTTCTTCGCGCAACGGTGTTTGGGCACTAACAGAAGAATGTGCCCCTTGTAGTTCCTACACCCCAAAACCCCAAAACCCCAAAACCCCTAAACCCCTAAACCCCTAAACCCCGAAACCCCTAAACCCCTAAACCCCTAAACCCCTAAACCCCCTAAACCCTGAACCCTAAAGGGCTGGGCTGAGGGTGCATGGCTCCGGGCTTGCATGAGTTTGATTTTGCACTGGGGCCTGCACGCGAACCCCCCTGTCTGGAAATCTCCACACCCACAAGCCTGAAGCCTGCAGCCCTAAACCCTAAACCCTAAACCCTCAACCCTAAACCCTAAACCCTCAACCCTACACCCAAAATGCTAGAATTCTGCAGCTCGAGGGCTGCACGACCCCCGCCGGCGCCACTTGGAAAACGGGCTGGGTGGCCTCCGGGTAGCAGAAACGGCTCCAGGGTTCAAGGCACCCGAGCTGCAGAAGCGGCTTGAGCGTCTCTGGTTCTGCTGTAGGGCTATTGGGGTTTAGGGTTTATAATATATTGGTTGCAGAGGTTGTAGAGTTTAGGGAGTTTATAGAGTTTATAGGGTTTAGGGTAGGTTTGAAGACGACAGCAACTTTGCATGGGTTTTGGCGCCTATGAGCTTCTCAAGCACATGGGATAGGTGTTCGAGCTTCCTTGCTGCCCAAAAACCCGCAAGCCGAAACCCTAAACCCTAAACCCTAAACAAAACAAACCTAAACCCTAAGCCCTAAGTTCCTAAGCCCTCCAGGCCTGTAGAGGAACACCGATCGGCAGTGGTGGGCAAGCGGGAGGGGCGGAGGGAACGAGGTCATGTGCAGCGGGTTCAGATGGACTGCGCTTCTGCTTCCTGGGATGCAGTCAAGACTTCGCAGGCACCAGGAAGCCCTAGAATAAGGAACCGTTAGGGTTTAGGGTTTAGGGTATTAGGGTTTAGGGTTTAGGGTTCAACCCTAACCCTAAACCCTAATACCCCTAAAGTGGCAGGTTGACCATCATATTGCAGGGTCTTACGCTTCGAGGCCCGAAGGTTGAGGAAGGCACATGGGGCTATATCCATAGATGATTTGTCTTGGTTTCTCTAGGTAATGGTAAGCTAGTGAACCCACCTTTTGGGGAATGGTTTGACCACATATTGGTGGTTTTTTTTTTTTTTTTTTGGGGGGGGGGGGGGGGGGGGGGTGGGGGGGGGGGGGGTAAGAACCCATGATGATATCATAGTAGCCATGAAACGGACCATACACCAGTGCCGAGTACCATTAGCACTCACACTTTTTATCCTGCCTGAAACTGCCGCGAACCCTTCCCCACCCCAAGCCCTAAACCCTAAACTCTAACCCTTGCAATAGAACCCTAAGGGTCAATGTACCTAAATAGGGAATACTTGGGCCTTAAACTAGAGCACCTGCTATACAGGGACTTTGTGGCCCAAGTCAGATAAGAATGAGGTACATGGACCCTTAGGCAAACCCCTAACCCCTAACCCCTAACCCTAAACCCGAAACCCAAAACCCAAAACCCTGAACCCCTAAACCCCTAAACCCAAACTTGAGTCCTTTTCCTGTCTAGGGGCCGGAAGCACACGGCCAACAGCGGGCAAAGGACCAATAAGGCCACCAGGCCCATCACAATCGGGACGACGGGCGAACCACCTTCCTGCTCCTCCTGCGCTGAGCGTGCAGGCTTTATTTAGGGTTAGGGTTTAGCGTTTAGGGTTTAGGGTTTAGGGTTTAGGGTTTGGGGTTTGGGGTTTGGGGTTTGGGGTTTGGGGTTTGGGGTTTGGGGTTGAGGTTGAAGGTTTGGGTCTGGCATGTGCAGAAGTTCATGGAGTTTCGAGCTGAGGGTTTAGGGTTTAGGGTTTAGGGTTTAGGGTTTAGGGTTTGGGGTTTAGGGTTGAGGGTTTAGGGCTTAGGGACACTAGTTTCATTCGAGTGCTTTGGCCTTATAGAGTGCTACTTTGGCCTAGAGCGAAATCGTAAACCTACTAAGCCGGTTTAAAGCAACCCCAAAAAGTGTGTAGCCTTACACCCCATCTCAAAACCCCTTTGCACGCAAGCCCTCGAGCTCTAGTTTTCCATCTGCGAAGGCCTTGGAGCTCTAACGTCCCAGGCAGCTGGAATCTAAAATCCTGAGGGACTGAGGCCACTTAACTTTGAATCCCAGACCTGCAAGTACTTGCCCATCAACTTTGAGCCCACAGTTAACCCCCAACTCCCCACCACAAACCCTACCCTCAAACTTAACTCCAAAATGTGGCCCTCCATGGCGAAACCTGTGGTTCCTGTGGTCCTTAGCAATAAAGAGCAACCCTCAGCCTTAGGGGTTCAGGGGTTTAGGGGTTTAGGGGTTTAGGGGTTTAGGGGTTTAGGGGTTTAGGGGCTTAGGGGCTTAGGGGCTTAGGGGCTTAGGGGTTTAGGGGTTTATACACCAGGAAGCGTGAGGCTTTGAAGCTACGGCGCTGATTTTTCCTGAGACTCGTGCATAGAAAAGCGCTGTCCGGGCCCAAGCTCGCGTTCCTCTCGCCCTAAACCTTGAACCCTAAGCCCCTGAACCCCAAAGACCCTAAACCCCCAAACCCCAAACCCTGCGAAACCTAAACCCTAAACCCTGCGAACCCTAAACCCTAAACCCTGCGAACCCTAAACCCTGAACCCCGAACCCTAAACCCTACGAAGCCTGAACCCTAAACCCTGCCAACCCTAAAGCCTAAACCCTGCGAACCCTAAGCCCTAAGCCTCAACCCTGCGAGCCCGTCAAGCTCCTGGGGCTCCTGTGCAACGTCCTTCACGGTGATTGGTATGGTCCTGAGTTGGGATTTAGGGTTTAGGGTTGAGGGTTGAGGGTTTAGGGATATGGCGGGGTTTCCGAAGTTAGGGTTCAGGGTTTAGGGTTTAGGGATATGGAGGTTTCCGCAATTAGGGGTACAGTTTTGGGGTCCTCATTCTACAAGAATCCTGCTATATGGGGGTCTATATTGGGGGTCCCCTATTTTCGGGAACCCCCCACATGGCTGAGAGCTGCAGCTGAGCTTGGAAAGCCCAGGAACCATATCATAACATAATCAGGGTAATTACGCCTTTTTTGGGAGTTGGTTACTTTATAAGGGAAACTTCGACCTTGATAGCCGTTGTAGTAGTATAGGGTGTACGGTTTAGGGTTTAGGGTTTCGACCCCAGTTGTAGGGTTCATGTGGTCCTCAGCGGCTAAAGCAGTTCGAGCTTACGGGCTCGGGAGCAGACTTTGGGTTCGAAGCAACAGGTCCACGGCAGTCTTGAAGAGGCTCATCTTCGGTCCCCCATCGGAGATTGCACGCAACGAGCCCGCAAGTGGAGGAGTGGAGGCCGGGGGGGGGAGGGAGGGGGCTGGGGGTCCTAAACCCTAAACCCTAAACCCTAAACCCTAAACCCTAAACCCTAAACCCTAAACCCTAAACCCTAAACCCTAAACCCTAAACCCTAAACCTAGGGTTTTAGGGCTGATAGAGCTGGAGCAAAGGCGAAGAGTGGAAGACACCATGGAAGATACAATGGAAGCGACTTTGTGATACCCCAATTCCCCACCCCGCACCCCCCCCCCCCCGCCCAAAAAAAAGGTAAACTCTCGCCAACCTAAGACTTTCAACACACACACACACACTAAACTCCTAAACCCCAAGCCCCCAATTCCCCGCAACAAGAATGTAGAAACCAAATACTACTCGCCTAAGAACCTCCTCAAAAAAGTACAACTGCTCCTCCTCATATGAGGGCAACATAGGGATTTTTTTGTGGAAGGAGTTCTTAAGCAAATAGTAAATGAAGGGTAGAGACTAAAACCCTAAACCCTCAACCCTAAACCCTAATTAAACCCTAAACCCTAAACCCTAAACCCTACACGCTAAACCCTAAACCCTAAACCCTAAACCCTAACCCCTAACCCCAAACCCTAAACCCTAAAGCCCTGCCCACCACAAAGGCCCCTTCAGCTCCGGCGCTGCACTGCGTGTTGGGCTTCAGCCGCAAGCTTCCGGCCTGTTTTTTGGCGCTCCGAGCTTTGGGCAGGTTTAGGGTTTAGGGTTTAGGGTTTAGGGTTTAGGGTTTAGGGTTTAGGGTTTAGGGTTTAGGGGGTTGAGGGTTTGTAGGGCTTCGGAACTATAGGGTGCTTTAGGAGGTTGGCTTCGACTCAAAGGTTAGGGGTTGCGTATGGTTGATACGGGGACCAAACAGCACCAGGTACTCTGCTCGCTGTTTCGGGTTTAGGGCTTAGGGTTTAGGTTTTCTTGAACCATTTGTCCGCTACAAAAGCTGACATCCGAAACCTGAAGCTTCTAAGCCTTTTCGTAGCAGCCGTTGTTTTCTTCTAACCGCATGCCTTTGAGACAGAAACAACTCTGTGATGTCAGTCCATTGTGTTTTCCAAAATCCCCAAACCCGCGTAAAGTCACTCTTGGGTGCTGGTTTCCATGTGATTTCCATGTGCTCCATCAAAACCCCCACAGAACCTCAGGGGCTGAATGCCCTAGCCCAAAAAAGGTTAACCTTGTTGGTGTAGTAGGATCCCTAAACCCTAAACCCTTAAACCCTAAACCTTTAAACCCTAAACCCGAAGCCGAAAAGGGTGAAGGTTGCCAACCCAGCCCCTAAGAAACATTAATCTAAACACCCAACAAACCGGGCCTCGTAACTCTCCGAGCCGGCGGTTGGTTATGGAGGCCAGGACGTGTAGGTAGCAGTTGTAGCAAGCCTGCTTTCTTAGGCTCAGATTTCGGGTTTGGGGGTTCAGGGTTTGGGGTTTTGAGATGTGAGGGACGTTGCAGCGTCTAGGATTAAGGGCCTAAAAGGGCTTCAACCTGCTCGCTGAAGACAGACCCTAAACCCTCAACCCTACACCCTAAACCCTACACCCCTAAACCCGAAGGCATGCTTTGGGTGAGGAAAGTACTCAAGTCTCAGCAGTTCCGAACTTGTCCCCAGAGGGCTTGAAGCACGGAACCCCTTCTCAACAAGTCCTTGGCCTCTCACGCACCGCAAGGGTTCGGGGTTTGGGGTTTGGGGTTTGGGGTTTAGGGTTTAATTAGGGCTTACGTCCACTGCCTTGGGGACCAAATGAACTCTAAACTTAAGGTCATATACGACTATCATCCCCGTTTAAGATATGCGAACCAGAAACCCTTGGGGTTTATTTGGTCCCAAGGTGTACTTTACGTGACCAACCCTCGACCCTGCACCAACCCTAAACCCATGCAATGGTGATTCCGCCTGCCTCCAACTGCACGCTGAACCGTACCTGCGGGGCTTCGTGCACTTGGAGTCTAGGCCTCCATGTGATCTATGGTGAATCAGCGGTGAATCGACAGACTGCCGGAAACAAATTGAAACTTGCTGTTGACTGGCGCTCAAGGTAGGGCCTAACGATCTTCCTGCAGTGAACCGGGCCTGCCCCTTCCCGCTGCTCAAGCGGTTGATGGAATCCGTGAGGTTGTGCACGCTCTGTCCTTCCGTTTGGGGTGTGGTTCACGGTGTGCCGCATATGTTTAAACTCCAGGGCTTAGCTCAGGGCTTTCGTTAGGCGGTCGCGAGTTAGGGTGTTAACTCCTTTCCCGACAACGATCGCAACCCCTGTATATTTGATAATATTGCAACTGTATTGCTGTGCCATCGTGGGAAGAACGGAAGAAAAAGTGAGACTCAAAGATAGATAGATCGATAGATAGATAGGTCTAAGTAGATCAGACTGGCTTAGATAAAGACATGAGATCAACATTTAGACAGATGGATAGATAGATGCGCCCAGTGTCCTAGCAATCTGACTTCCGAACGCGTCTGGAGCAAACATCTTGTATTGCGATGATGCCCCACATACAGACACAGTGTTCAGATGATTGAGGCGAGCGAGCATACCCAGTTTTCGCGTGGGTGCGGGAGTGGGGGTGGCCCGAAGAAAAAGGCCAGATCAAGGGTGCGCGTGAATTTGAGAGCCCATCCTCCTTTTAGAAGCTACTGAAAGGATCAAGGAACCTAGTAAGCGGGGTTATACGTATGGTAACTGTACTTACAATTCTTTTGCTTCCCAATGAAGGTCCGTATATCCCTGCTTACTAACTGCCCCGAAACCCTAACCCTTCAAGGGCCCTAAACCCTAAACCCTAACCCCTAACCCTTACACCCTTAAACCCTAAACCCTAAACCCGAAACCCTAAAGCCTATAGGCCCTAAACCCTAAACCGAAAACCCTAGCTCTTTAAGGCCCCCACCCCTAGACAATTTAGGGACCGCCGACCTTTGGGATCCGTCGTCTTCGACAGCCACGCCATGCTCACCACCATGTCCAACCTTTGACTCTGACTTGCTAGCCCAGCAACATATCATAACTATAACTAGGGTTCAGGGTTCAGGGTTCAGGGTTCAGGGTTCAGGGTTCAGGGTTCAGGGTTTAGGGTTTAGGGTTTAGGGTTTAGGGTTTAGGGTTTAGGGTTTAGGGTTTAGGGTTTAGGGGTAGGGTATATATATATATATACATCCTTGGAAGCCCAGTAACCATATCATCATAAGGGTACCCCCTTTTTGCGGGGTTGGTGACTATATTAGGAAACTTAGAACCCAAATTATTTTACTTCGAACATCCCCACCCTCTCTTGGTAGAGATACTCTGGGGTTGGGCACTCCAGAGACACCCGGGGGCTGGGCACTCCGGGGACACTCTGGAGTTGGGCACGAGACTCTGGAGTTGGGCACTCCAGGGAATTGCGGTGACACTCTAAGGGGTTAGGGAGACTCTGGGGTTGGGCACTCCAGGGAGACTCTGGGGCTGGGCACTCCGGGCACACTCTGGGTTGGGCACTCTAGGGAGACTCTGGGCTTGTGCACTCAGGGAGACTTGGGTTGGGCACTCTAAGGAGGGTTGGGCACTCCAGGGAAACTCTGGGGTTGCGCACTCCAGGGACACACTAGAGTTGGGCACTCCATGGACACTTTGGGATTGAGCGAGGTAGACCGGGCGAGGAGGAGAGTTCCGGGCGAGGAGAAGAGTTCCTGGCGAGGAGCAGAGTTGAGTTTGAAATCTAACAGCCCCACACCGAGGGTGGGGAAAAAGTGCAAAGGGGTACCACTGGGCTACCAAGTTGATGGCTGTCAATGAGTAAATGGGTTGCGAAGTGTTTGCGGGTCAGGGTGGAAGGAAATCTTCAATTTGGCTTCTACGCTAGGTCCATGGATGTTTTTGGTCTCCGGACAGGGTTTGGAGACCTTTCTGGATTGAGAAGCGTAGTCTTCAGGGGTTTAGAGCTTTGGGAGGACACGGTGCAGAGTTTGGTCTCTAGGGCTTGTGGCTTCTACTGGTCAATTGGGATGTCCTTCCAAGTCGTAAATACTCCCCGTGGGATGATGGATGTCCCCGAGAAGTTCAGCTCGGTGCTTCTAGTGACCAGCGTTATGCCACCCTAAACCCCAAACGCTTCCTAAACCCTAAACCCTAAACCCTAAACCCTAAACCCTAAACCCTAAACCCTAAAGCTGCTGCCCAGAAACTCACCACCCCCCTGCAGGCGGAGTTCCGCAAAGGCCCGGTCATGAGCCCGATAGATCGCCAGGTCCTTGGCCTCGGGCTTGGGGTTTAGGGTTTAGGGTTTAGGGTTTAGGGTTTGGGGTTTGGGGTTTGGGGTTTGGGGTTTGGGGTTTGGGGTTTGGGGTTTGGGGTTTGGGGTTTGGGGTTTGGGGTTTGGGGTTTGGGGTTTGGGGTTTGGGGTTTGGGGTGTGGGGTTTGGGGTTTGGGGTTTGGGGTTTGGGGTTTGGGGTGTGGGTTTGGGGTTTGGGGTTTGGGGTTTGGGGTTTGGGGTTTGGGGTTTGGGGTTTGGGGTTTGGGGTTTGGGCTTTGGGCTTTGGGCTTTGGGCTTTGGGCTTTAATCTGATGATAGGCCGGCCATCCCGCCCCCTACCTGATTTCCCCCTCCCTGACCCCCCGCCACCTACCCCCGCCCCTATACCTCCTACCCCGACGCCCGTACCTCCTAACTTTAGGCTACAGGGTTTGGGCAGCTGCTTCAGGCTGAAGGGTTTGGGGCTCAAAGTGTTAAGTTCAAGGGCTTGCTTGCTATCGGGGTTGGAGATTTCAAGGGACCGTCCTGCATTTCGGGAACAAAAACGAAGGAGCAACCAGAGAAAGCTTCCCATTCGTTCGTGGTGTTGGCACTCACCTGCCCTGCTGAGTCAGGGTTTCCCCTACCCACTCCTTGTTCTAGGCTTCGAACCCTAAACCCTAAATCCTTAAACCCTCAGCCACTCCCTTCCGGGGCTTCTAGAACTTGAGACGAATGGCTTTCCCTAAGCCCTAAGCCCTAAACCCTAAACCCTAAACCCTAAACCCTAAACCCTGGGGTTCCCCTTTCCCCTTCCCAGGGTTCAGGTTGTGAAGCAACCTGAAGCCTGAAGCGAGAAGCCAGAAGCAGCAAGTAACAAACAGAAGGTCAGGGGCTTAGGGTCCACTTTCAGGATGAGGGGACTTACCAAGTGGGGTTATACCTAATGTAACTCTACCTTTCACCACTTATAACCTACTTAATTACTAAGTGCCTGGATCCTCTAAGTAGGGTGTAGGGTTTAAGGTTGAAAGCTTGAAGCGTACCAGCAGCAAGCGGGCCACGCAAAAAGGAACAGCACCACGGCTCCCGAAAACGAGCTCGTCTCCTCCCAAACCCTTAAGACCCTAAAGTACCTTAATTGGGAGTGTATAGTAGTTATAAGTAGAGTTACCTCACTTATCGCCCACTTACATGCCAATAAGTCCCCTGATCCTTTAAGTAAAGCCGCAACCCTAAACTCACAACCTTTGGAAGCCCCACCCTTCCCCACCAGCAGCCTTTGTGAAGAAGTTGCTCTCATAGAGCAGGAACTCGGTGGGAAAGGCCCCGAGGTAGACGGAAGTGTTCTGGACAACCTTTCCGGGTAGCTTTCATTCTTGCAGTCTTCAGATTGACAGCGACTTCAAAGTTCAACAGGCTTCAGCGGCCGGGGGGGGGGGGTGCGGAGGGTAGGTTTTCAGGGTATTTGGCTAACTTAAGGGGTATATAGGAGGGAGCCCTATAGAATGGACCCTGAATCTTATTCCCCTATTGCCCTTTCGAGTCCCTATATACCTAGGTAGCCCCTAAATGACCCCCAAAATAACCCCTAAGGTCCCTTGGAAGGTTCCCTCCTTTAGTCCCTTGAATCAAGGTCTACGGATGCTTTCAGAATTTGGGGAAAGCCCCAAAACCTAACTACCCCGAGTCCAATAAGCACCCGAAGCCTCGATGGCAACCTCAGCTTTGCCAGGCCTGTAGACCACCTAAACCCAAAAAGCCTCTTATACAAGGGAGCCTAAACCATTCCTTGATTAAACCCGAAACCCTGAACCCTAAACCCTAAGGCAATAAACCTAAACCCTAAATGCCGCAAAGCTCAACTAGACCCGGGAGTAACCTAAGAATTAACAGGGTACAGTTTGCCCTTTGTTCGTGTAAAGGGGTCTATCTGCGCCAGCATAGGCGCACCCCCTCCCCCCCCCCCCCCCCATATCCCCCCCCCCCCCCCCCCCCCCCCTGTGGTTCATGGTGGGTTTTGGGGTCCCCTCCCCCCCCCCCCCTATGGTTCATGGTCCGTGGTTCATGGGTTTGTGGTTTAGGGGTTTAGGGTTAGGCTGTAGAGTTCAGGATTTTCACTCTGGTCCATTGGTTCATTGTGGGTTTAGAGTTTAATCAGGGTTCAAGGTTTGGGGTAATGGTAGGTTTATGGTTTCCCCTCTCCCCCCAATGGTTCGTGCTGAGTTTACGCTTCAGGGTTCAGGGTTAAAGCGGCTAAGGTTTCGGGTTTACCCTTCTCCCTCCTGTCGTTCATTGGTGGGTTTAAGTTTTAGGGCTTAGGGTTCAGAGTGTGGGGTTTAGGCTGAGGTTTCTCTGTCCTCCCCCGTGGTCCGTGGTGTTTTTAGGGTTAACAGGCAGGGTTTGGGGGGATGCCGTGGGGGGGGGGGATACCATGGGGGGGGGGGGGGGGGTGTCGATTACGCGCAACGCGGGCGCATATCAGGGAACCAAAACCGTTCCCCCCCAGACCCTACCTAAACCCTACACCCTAAACCCTAAACCCGAAGCCCTAAACCCTAAACCCTAAACCCTAGACCCTCCCTCAACCCTAAACCCTGAACCCTAAATCCCGCGAACCCCAAAATTCCGAAGCCTTCGGCTCGGTGGCCAGAAGCCCGGTGTAGTACGCGTGGGTCGCTCGGGGGAAGCGGAGAGTCAAAGGAAAGTGCCAGGACTGAATCACCTCTTGGGGGTTTAGGGTTTAGGGTTTAGGGTTTAGGTTTTAGGGTTTAGGGTTTAGGGCTGAATCACCTCTTCGTAGCTCTTCGGGGGTTTTGGTAGGGCTTGGGGTTGTTTTCGTAGTTCTTCGGGATTCAAGGTTCGATTCGCAGCTCGTTGGGGTTTGGGGTTTAAGGTTCTCTTCGCAGTTCTTCGGGGGTTTAGAGTTTTCTTTCCAGTTCTTTGGGGGTTTAGGGTTTAAGGTTTTCTTCGCAGCTGTTCGGGGCTTAGGGTTTGGGGTAATCTTTTTAGTTCTTTGGGGGTTTAGGGTTTAAGGCTATCTTCGTAGCTCTTTGGGGTTTAGGGTTTTACTTGTAATTCTTTGGGGGCTTCGGGTTTAAGGTTCTCTTCGTAGTTCTTCGGGGTTTAGGGTTAAGGGTTCGCTTGGTAGCTCTTCGGGGTTTAGGGTTCAGGGTTCTCTTCGAAGTTCTTCGAGGCTTAAGGTTTTGAGTTCTCTTCGAAGTTCTTCGGGGCTTCACTCGCTTCGTAGTTCTTTGGGGTTAAGATTTAGCGGTCGAGTAGTGTTAGGAGTAGACCCTGGAAAAAGTACGCACTTTTAGGTAAAATTAGGTATAATAGGAACCCAGAACCAGATCCAAATTAAAGTATAGTACTCCAAAACACTCAGCAGCAGCAAGAAGAGTCGTGATAGAAATGCTTGTTGCAATCGGCTGGCATCAGCAATACGAGTCATGATCGTCATGATCGTGGTAAGGGCAAGCCCTAGCCTAAACAATAACAAACCAAAACCCAAAAAACCCAAAACCCCAAAAAAACAAAACAAAACCCAAACAAAAGCAAAACCCCAAAACCCCAAAAATTAAATCCGCCCAAACCCTGAGCCCTAAACCCTAAAAAACCCCAACTTGAATGCTCTTAGGGATGCCAGTGTGGATGTATTGTAGACGAAGTGTACAGTTTCCTTGAGGCGCGAAGTTGAAAGTTTCGGTGCCGGCTGTGGACTGAGGATAAACACCGTTCGTAAAAGGACGGGAAATTTCATGCAGACCTTGGCATGATGGTGTACACCCTCAACCCTAAACCATACACTCTGCACCTCTAGGAATGATCCCTTCTGGGCACAGGGCTCCTGCGCAGGCTTTTGGAGTGTGCTGTGGGGGTTTACCTGGAAACCCAATTCCTGAGTCGAGGGGCTGAAAGTTGCCGGCAGTCGACCCAGAACTCAGGTTTGCAACGATTGAAGCCCCTGTAAGGGTTTAGGGTTAAGGCCAATACCCTGAACCCCAACCACGGCACCTGCTGGCACTCAGTGAGCGTGCCCCGGCACAGGAAGACGGCTGCGACACCACTTCGGACCACCTCACTTGCCTCGAAGGTAGTGCCGAGCTTGCATGCGCCATCCAGCTCGGTGTACGTCAGCGTCTTCGTCGAATTCCGGAAAGTCTGCGTGCCCACTTGCCGATCCGTCCACTTGAAGAGACCATCGCATGGAACAGCTCCTGCAGACAGGCTGCCTGCGTCGGGCTGGACGTCAACGGAATAGACCATAGAGATATTCTCGTAAACAGCACCAAACGAGACCTGGAAACTCAGCTGGAGAAGGCCATAGTTGTCGGCTTGGGCTGAGAAGGAAGGAGTCGGGCCGTGCTCCAACATGAAGGCCAGCGTTTGGAGGCACAAGCCTCCTTGGTACGACATGTGCCCTGCCGGACATGGAACGCAGTCCGCCGCCCCGGATCCGGAGTTCCACATCTGGCCAGCAGGGCAGGCCATGCAATCTGGCATCCCTGAAGTGGAGTAACACGGATTCAAGCCCGGCGAGTCGATCCTCCTCCGTCGATCATTGCCAAGATAGCACGCGCGCCGGCGAGAGGAGCCCCTGGGAGTGAAATGGTTTGTAGGGCATCTTGTGCAGTATCCGACGCCATCTGGATTCGTGTGATTTCTGCCGCAGGGGTGACAATAACCAGCGCTTTCGTAGAAGTTACGAGGGCAAGCGCCCAGGACCCCAAGAAGCAGCCACGAGAGGCACAGAAGTCTGCACATGGCAGACCCTAAACCCCAAGCCCTAAACCCTACACCTTAAGCCCCAAACCCTAAACCGGGCGCCTTCCAAGAGTCCAAGGTGCCGAAAGCCTACACCTGAGCATCCTATACTTTATGGCCTCAAACCTCCTGGCTCCCTACACCCCACACCCCAAACCCAAGCGTGTAGGCCTGAAAGGCTTGGGGGGAGCACCTTGGTCGTTCAAAAACAAAACTGCGATGAAGCAAGCAAACAACAGAGCGGCAAGTTACAAAAGATCTGGCACATGCGCGCTTTCTGGAAACTTGAGGTCCAAGGTAACACCCCATGCAGAAACTCGTGTAATCTCAGGCGATGGTAGCGAATCCAAAAACAGCCCCCTAAACCGTAAACCCTAAACCCAAAACCCTAAACCCTAAAACCTAAAACCCCTAACCCTCAACCCTAAACGCTAAACCCTAAACCCTCCTTTTGCGCGCGGCAACTCTGCAGATAGAGACCGGCACGCGCGGGCCGTACCAGGGCGCTCGGGTGCGCGTGCTCTTTGGCTGCGAGCACCCATGGAAACCTTGGCACATCCCGGTTTAGGGTTTAGGGTTTAGGGTTTAGGGTTTAGGGTTTAGGGTATAGGGTTTATGGTTTAGGGTTTAGAAAGCAACCCTAAACACTGAAGTACCCTAAACCCTAAGCCCGAACCACGAAACCCTGAACCCAAATTTGCCTGGAGCCTGCAACCTGACCTAGAAGTCTTCCTTGCCCCTCAATCTTTTCTTACCTCGCTCGAAACTACCCTGAACAGAACCCTACGCCCTACTAGCAAACCCCACGCCCTACTAGCAAAGCCATAGGCTACACCACCAATGACCAACACCAAATCACAAGCCAGGTTTAGGGTCTCGGGGTTGTATAAGGGTCTACTACTATTTGGTTAAGGACCCCCCGCCCCACACACGCAAAACAAAAGTAAAACACTAAGGATAACAATCCCTAATTGCCCTTACATGCAAGAACATTTTGAGTTTGTTTGGGGGGGAGGTTCAAAAGCAAATAGTAGTTTAGGGTTTAGGGTTTAGGGTTTAGGGTCTAGGGCTTAGGGTTTAGGGTTTAGGGTGTAGGGTTTAGGTTTAGGGTTTAGGGTTTAGAGTTTAGGGTTTAGAGTTTGGGGTTTAGGGTTTAGGGTTAGGATTTAAGCCTCTAGGGCGGCATGGGCAAAGTTAGAGGCTTGCAAGGCCTGGTGCTGTCTAAGGCTCAAACATGCATAGTAAGGTGATTAAGTTCCCTGAAGCCCTAAACCCTAGGCCCTAGACCCTAAACCCTAAACCCTAAACCCTAAACCCTAAACCCCATCAAGTACTAGGAACTCTGAGGCTTACACGGTTTGGGGCTTCTGTGGTGGCCGAAAGGCTTGGGATTCGTAAGCTTTAAAATGGCCCGGCCAGGGCCGAGTCTCAAGCGACCCTGGAGCAGATTTGTTGTTTAGGGTTTAGGGTTTAGGGTTTGGGGTAGGGTTTGGGGTTTGGGGTTTAGGGATTAGGGTTTAGGGTTTGGGGTTTGGGGTTTGGGGTTTAGGGTTTAGGGTTTCGGGTTTGGGGTTTGGGGTTTGGGGTTTGGGGCTTCTTGTTTAGGTTTTCACCTCTTGTTTGCGGGAGCGACTGCGTCGGATGCCAGTTCCACAATTCTGACGGCCCTCAACAAGCAGAAACAGCTAACACTTCCATCAACAGCCTCATGTTCAAGAACAGTCTGGTTTAGAAGCTCTGTGTGTGCGAGTGTCTAGACAGGCCAAGGAGAATGAACCCCTCTAAGCCCTGCCATGCAAAAGAAAACGCTGAAAATCCCCAACCGCCAAACCCTAGTAGCATAAACCCTGCACTACCCGAACCTCTCCCGCAAAACACCCAAAACCCACCCTAAACCTTAACCCTCAACCTAGACGCTAAGCCCTAGACGCTAAGCCCCAAACCCTAAACCCTAAATCCTAAACCCTAAACCCCAAACCCTAAACCCTACATCCTAAACCCTAAAAACCGTGCCAACCAAAGAGCCTTGCAGCTCATCGCGGTCTCCGAAGAGCACGGCGCATGGCCAAAGCCCCCACTGCATTCCTTAGAATATAGGGTTTAGGGTTTAGGGTTTAGGGTTAGGTGACTGAATAGTGAGAATAGGGTTTTGGGGGCTATGATAGTATAACGATAAAGGGACCTTAAGGGAATACTATTAGCAATTATTCCGAGCCCTGTATTAGGCAGGTTAGCGGCTTCGGATTTCAAGGGTTTAGGGGTTTAGGGTTTCTAGAGGTTAGGGTTTTAGGGGGTTTTCGGGGGTTTGGGGTTTAGGGTCTGGGGCTTAGTGTTTAAGGGTTAAGGTTTTTGGGGTTAGGGCTTAGGGGTTAGTGTTTAAGGGTGAGGGTTTAGCGCGGTTTTGTGCACCGCAGAGCCACATGGACACGGTTGCCATCCTAGACCTTGGGGGTCTATGGGAGGATTCTACGATAGTGGAAGACTTTAAAGTGCTCAACAAGTCCTGTTTGATCCTGGCATCGTAGCTGCAAGCAGAACCAGCCCCATGTGACCTTGGCGAAGGACTTCACCGACGGAGGGATGTGGAGCAGGCAGTCTAATCTCTAGGGTTTAGAGCTTAGGGCTTAGGGCTTAGGGTTTAGGGTTTAGGGGTTTGCATCGTTTCATGCATGTTGGCCCTGATGCAAGCATCTATTTCGAATTGCGTGCGCTCTTCTGATTTAGGAAGAATGAATGCACATAACTTGAATTCTCGAATCCACGCTGTGGGATGTCAAAAACCCTCAACCCCTGTAGGTCATAAAGCCCAATAGATCCAGTTTTCCAAACCCTAAACCCTAAACCCTAAACCCTAAACCCTAAACCCTAAACCCTAAACCCTAAACCCTAAACCCTAAACCTTAAACCCTAAACCCTAAACCCTAAACCTTCAAACAGGCTCACAGGTCTTGCTTGCGAGGGGCTGGATCGAAACCAGCAGCCAAAGGACTCGCCAGGGCGGGGTAGCGCCGGCCCCTTGTGAGCCCTAAACCCTAAACCCTAAACCCTAAACCCTAAACCCTAAACCCTAAACCCTAAACCCTAAACCCTAAACCCTGAACCCTGAACCCGATAAACCCTAAACCCTGAGCCCAGAGAGATTACATCTCGAAAGTTAGGGTGCAGAAGCTGCCGCCCTAGGCCCTAGGTTCTGAACTCCAAAACCCTATCTCCTAAAACCGAATTAAACCCCAAAACCCTGGACTATACTCTGAAGCCCCCAAGCCCAAAACCCAACCCTAAACCCTAAACCCTAAACTCTAAACTCTAAACCCCAAACCCTGAGCCGAGAGGAGGTTCTTCCAGTCCCACGATGGCCATCAGCACCAGTGCCAGCACCAGGCGGCCAGATACGGTTGCCTCAAGGAAGCCGCGGCTACCTCGGCTTTTCAATGTTGCCCGTTTTGACTTAGTAAGGAGGCTTAGTAGGGTGGGTCACGGGGATTTTTAACGGGTTTCTAGGGGATACTCAGTAGACAGCTTACTAAGTCAAAAAACTTCTACGTAGGGGTCTATTGGGTCTGGGGTTTGAGCTAGGGTTTAGGGCGTAGGCAACTCAGCAAGGGATGACGTAGGGTACCTCAAGCCCTCATATGTCCTTTCTTTTGTTAAACCCTTGAAGGGATTATGTAGGGTACCTCTTTGACTACTAAGAACCAGTACCCTAAGGATCCATGTACTTATATAGTACATACTTGGGCCCGAAAGCTACTATATAGGAACCCCCTTTAAGGCCCAAGTATATACTATATAGGTACATGGATCCTTTGGGGTAGATCATCCCTCATGCGAGCGCTTCTTGGAGCACCTTGCTTGTCCGAAAAAAGGGAGCAGCCGACAGGGAGCTTCTCACAAGCTGGACCTAAACCCTAAACCCTGAGCCAAATGCTAGGTTCGGGGTTTCCAGGGCCGATCGCAACATCAGCAAAAATTGACTATATACCCGCCATACAAAAGGAAAATGTGCCCTGAACGAAGGCTTGAAAGGATAAATTTTGGGTTTAGCTTACTTGTTGGTGTGATGTAGGTTGCTCTCTAGGTGAAACCCAAGCCCTGCGCCCGAAAGATACCCTTCCGAAGTGCCATCGCGGGCAGCGCCGATGTAGTACCATCCCAGGAGGGCGCACAGCGAGCCGAAAACCCGAATCCAAATGCTGCGCAACTCGGCCGCATGAAAGAAGAGGCCGAAGATGGTACTGGGGGCCACAAGCAAGCAGAGGCCTGCCGAGGGTGCCGTGCGCCCACAGTGGAGCAGAGGAAGCAAGGCAATTTGCGTGCGTCTGACGTTCCCTTGTTGACCATGACGTTCACCCCGGCCCCAAACCCTAATAATCCCAACTCCCTCAACCCCTGGCCCTAAACCCTGAACCCTAAACCCTAAACCGGAAACCTCCCAAATCCCTGAGGCCCTACAGATCCCCAAGCCCAGAACTGGCCCTCAGAATCCCGTGAAGCGTTTGGACTTGACCCGGCCGATCGCCCCGATGTAGGCCCCCGTGATCGTCCTTTCTGCAATTCGATAGGGTTTAGGGTTTAGGGTTTAGGGTTTAGGGTTTAGGGTTTAGGGTTTAGGGTGTAGGGTTTAGGGTTTAAGGTTTCGGGTTTCGGGTTTCGGGTTTGGGGCTTCAGGTTTCGGGTTTCGGGTTTTGCCCCGAGCAGGGTCCCTAAACCCTAAACCCTAAACCCTA